TACATTCCAAAATTTTACATCCAGTGGGCCGCTAACGAATGCTAGGTTGTTTCCGTTTTATCCCAACTCTGTAACAAAAATCCTCTGGTTAAGTTTGCGCCAATCTTTATTTCCGGTCGAAAAGTAAGTTAAATTACTTCTGTTTCTTATTGTGAACTTGTTCTCCAGAAGGTTCTACACACCAAGCTGCAGTGCCAGCAACACAGGAATATAGTGTCTGATACCAGGGGCTGTATCTTCTTTAGTTGGAAACAACAAAAACACGACAATCAGCACACTCACAAACTTGTCATTTGTATCTCCTTAATTATAAGGGAGGATGAGCATTTAAAAAGTGCATCATCTGGGGCGCCTGGGTGGCTCAGTCAGCTAAGCGTCCGACTTCAGCTCAGGTCATGATCTCACGGTCTGTGAGTTCGAGCCGCGCGTCGGGCTCTGTGCTGACCGCTCAGAGCCTGGAGCCTGTTTCAGATTCTGTGTCTCCCTCTCTCTCTGACCCTCCCCCGTTCATGCTCTGTCTCTGTCTCAAAAATAAATAAAACGTTAAAAAAAAATTAAAAAAATAAATAATAAAAAAAATAAAAAGTGCATCATCGCCCTCTGTGTCTTTCTCTTGGGAATTGCTTGTCAAAGCCTTTCGCCCAATTCTCCGGGGAAGGGGCTTCACCTTTTCAATGGATTTGTAGGACTTTTTAAAATATTAAAGCAGTTAAAATTTTCTTACCATCCTACATACTTCTGTAAGTTTATCACACACCCGTTTGCAGTTGGGTGATTTTGTCTTCTTTTCCAGAGTGCTCATTCATTTTTATATAGTCAAATTTGTTTCGTGGTTTCTGGCTTTAACACTATGAAGCAAAGACCTTCTCCCCTTTTCAGTTTATGAAAATATCCACTTCCTCTACAATACCAGGTAATATAATAATGAGCAACTACTCAGAGAGAAAAATACTGGAAGGAAATACAACAAAGTAAAGCTGCCTGTGGCTTATAAAATTGTGGGTTGTTTAAAATAGAAAAACGATTAAAATACAACAATGTTGTATGCACGTTACTGATTCCTTATAGGATTGTTATAAAATGTGGGTAAGGCATTAAAAGTTACCTTCACCAGATATTAAATTCTTTATTTTTTTATTTATTTATTTTTAAAAATTTTTTTTTTTCAACGTTTATTTATTTTTGGGACAGAGAGAGACAGAGCATGAACGGGGGAGGGGCAGAGAGAGAGGGAGACACAGAATCGGAAACAGGCTCCAGTCTCCGAGCCATCAGCCCAGAGCCTGACGCGGGACTCGAACTCAGGGACCGCGAGATCGTGACCTGGCTGAAGTCGGACGCTTAACCGACTGCGCCACCCAGGCGCCCCTAAATTCTTTATTTACAGATACCCTTCCACTCGTGAATCTATCTTGGGACTCCCCTTTTTGTTTGCTGGTCTGCTGATTTCTAAACCAGGTCTACACTGCCACTTTGTAAAACATTTTGAGCATCTAATAGGGGAATATCCCTATTTTAATTTTTTCCCTAAAGTTTCCTTGCATTGTTTCTAACGTTGTTCCTTTTCCAGACGGACTTTAAAAACGGTAAGTCCCAGAAGAAATCCTAGTGGGATTATGCTGGAATTGAAAGGACAGAAGAAATGAACTTGGGAAGAATGGACTTTATCACAACATCAAAGCTTCATAGCCATTTATTCAAATCTTTTGGATAATCTCCTTTATTAAATGTTCTAAGTCATACACATTCCTTGTGGTGTTTATCCCAGGTCATTCTGTGCCCTCTTGTCATTGTGAGTGGATTATGCTCCTCCCCCCTTTACCTAGCTGTATTTTCTGACTGTTACAGCTGCTAAATGGGGACGCTAGTCTTTTCTTTTTTAATTTATATATATTTAATGTCCACGCTGCTAAACACACTTGACTATATACGAACCCACTTTTTCAACCCTAAGTGGTAGGAAATTCAAATTCGAATGAAGAATTTCTTTTTTTTTTAAAAAATTTTTTTTTCAACGTTTATTTATTTTTGGGACAGAGAGAGACAGAGCATGAACGGGGGAGGAGCAGAGAGAGAGGGAGACACAGAATCGGAAACAGGCTCCAGGCTCTGAGCCATCAGCCCAGAGCCTGATGCGGGGCTCAAACTCACGGACCGCGAGATCGTGACCTGGCTGAAGTCGGACGCTTAACCGACTGCGCCACCCAGGCGCCCCTCGAATGAAGAATTTCTAAAATTTCGCATCCAAATAAAGATGTGCCGTAGGTGTTAAAAACACACTGGATTTCAAAGACTTTGTGTGATTAAGTAATGTAAAATGTCTTAATTTTTTATGATTATGTGGTGAAATGATATCTTTTTGATGTGTACACTCGGGTTAAACAAAACATTAAAATTAATTCCACCTGTCTTTAGTAAAAAAAAAAAAAATTTTTTTTAACATTTATTTATTTTTTGGGAGACAGAGATAGAGCATGAGCGGGAGAGGAGCAGAGAGAGAGGGAGACACAGAATCCAAAGCAGGCTCCAGGCTCTGAGCTGTCAGCACAGAGCCTGACGCGGGGCTTGAACCCTCGAACCATGAGATCATGACTTGAGCTGAAGTCGGACGCTTAACCGATTGAGCCACCCAGACGCCCGTCTTTAGTTTTTCAAACTGTGTCTACTGGAAAACTGAAAATTACGTATGCGGCTGGCACGGTACCTCCCTCTATTGGCAGCGCTGATCTAGAGGGATCTCCACTGATCATGCATAATGCTCACCACTGGATGCAGACATTCTTGTTCATTTCAGAGAATTGATAGTTTCTTACAGTTTATAAGAAAATGAAGCCAGTAACTTAGCCAGGCGAAGGTGCAGTAGGGAAAACACGCGACAGCTTAGAAAATCTACCCTTTGACTGCTGGAAAACACAGAAGCAGCTGTCTAGGCTTGTGACAGAACTGTAGCAGAGCCTGGGCTCGAAGGCTGGGGCTGAGGACCCCACTCTGGGAAGTGCTATCCCAGCTCCCACCTGTGGATCTCAGGTGGCCCATGTGTCACCGGAAGTATGAGAAAGGGAACTCACATTCACTGAGCTCTTCCTCTGCACCAAGCAGCTGCTCTATCTTGGCTAAACTGCTTTTGTCCCCCCAATTTTTTAAATGTTTTCTTTATTTTTGAGAGAAAGAGAGCGCGAGCCGGGAAGGGGCAGAGAGAGAGGGAGACACAGAATTCGAAGACAGGCTTCAGGCTCTGAGCTGTCAGCACAGAGCAGGACGCGGTGCTTGAACTCACGAACCGTGAGATCATGACCTGAGCTGAAGTTGGACATTTAACTGACTGAGCCACCCAGGCGCCCCTGTTTGTTTTTTTTTTTTTTTTTAACAACAAAACAAGTACTACCACTGTCCTGGTGTTCTTTCCCACCATCCAAGGGACTTATCGTCCCCATCTTACAGATAAGAAAGCTGAGGCTAAGAGACACCAATGCTCCACCAAGTCACGTCCTTGCGAAGAACAGGGCTGAGAGAAGAGTCTCAGGATCCGCCTGGTTCTGAGTTTCTTCCCACTGTGGTTCTTCCCACTCCACCGTAAGGTGTGCAGGAGAGGGTCCTAAGTATTGCTGGGGCCCCGGCCTCTGAGATCTGAAGGTTCTGGATGCATGCACACGCACAGGATACACAGTTTTACATAGAATTCCAGGTTAAAATATTCCCAGCCTGGCCACTCCATTCTCCACCACCCCAGCGAAAAGTACAGATAAATCCTGGGAAAGACAGGGGCAGCTCCATCCCGCTGGCAACCGGCCATCCTCCCCACGGGGCTCCTTCACCTTGGTCTCTGTATCCACCTCCTTCCAGATCCCAGAACCGTGTGCTCTGGGCCAGGAGAGGGAGGCAGCGAAGGCAAGTGGGAGGGGGAAGGAGAAGGCCCCCCCACC